TTCATGTGTTCTCATTCTCCTGCAGCTTATCTAGAAAATGGCTTAGATGATCATATCTGTATATTTCTATAGCAAAGAGGGAAGATTCTGCCTGGCCCATACTTTCTCACTATATCTATGATTGTTGACCCATTTTAATCTTAAATATGGCTGCTCAACTTGAATGTTGCTGGAATCCTGGACGTTGGGATACACATAAAGATTCCTTTGTTTAGCAGTTTGAGCTGCAGGTCTGGTGGGAGGGGCACATATAAATTAACATTGACTATGGTTTTTAGTAGAGGCTGAGGCCAGTTTTTGCTCTTGGAGAAATCAACCATTTTGTGCTTAGAGTAAGGGCATTTACTGTGAAATGCTTTTCAACAGAAAACATCTTGTGGCTGAGTCTGCCTGAAAAAGTGTGTGTGTGTTTGTGTGTGTGTGTGTGTGTGTGTGTGTGTGTGTGTGTGATTTTGGTTGGGTCTGGGTAGGGTGAAAAGTATGGTACAGTATTATTCTTGAACAAGATAGTAGGAATATACCTTAGGGTGGTCTGCGTTTCACAGATGAGGAGAGGGGATCCACTAGCCTTATTTGGGAATAAGAATTGAGAATACTTAGGATTAGGACTTGATAGGGTGTGGATGGGGCAATCTGTTGGGGTCTAAGTAGTTAAGATCTGGTATGAATGGAGGGAAAAAGGTTTAGGAGATGAAATGGTAAGATCTGGCAACTCTGTGCCTGGGCATGTGACCATAGGTTGAGACATATATATATGTGTGTGTGCATTTATGTACTATATTGCTGGAGGGTATAGGTTGTAAGCTTCAAGTACAGGACATGTAAACTCAGATCCCATCTCTATTACTTATTATTGACGTAATTTCATAAAGATTTTTTTTTAAACTTCTCTGAGCCCTCAGATGTTCTTTTCTTAATTTCTTGTTCTCTGCAAGGTTAATGAGTTGCCAAGAAGCTTGTACCTTCCTGAGACCAGGGACTCAGAGCCTTCTCTAAACTTCCAGTATCTTTTCATGGAGGAGCAGGGGAAAAAAGGAACCTTGGGTTCCTTCAGATGTCAAGCCTTGCCTCTGCATCAAGAGTGGAAAGGGCTCTGGATGGATAGGGGGACACTGTTGTCTTTCCCTAGCCAGTCCTATGGTTGTCAGCAAGTTACTTGCTCTTTCAGGGAGGCTCTAGTGTGAATTATATTTTGTTGAACATTAATCCTCTCCTAATAGGCAATCTATGTTTGAGACCTTTTGGTAAACACAATATTGTATTAATAGGGATATATCATTACTGGGCCATTCTGGAAAGTGCAATGAGCAATATACCAGAAGAGTGAGCTTTCCTGTTAACTAGCTACACTGGAGATTGTGTCAGCGCTTCTAAAATGGTTCTTTTTGGTTTATACCTGTTGCATATCTTTGGAGTGAAGCTAATGATATCTGTTCACTAGGTTTTTTCATGCTTTAATCTTATTAGTTACCTGTCAAGAACCTTCAGTGGCTTTCTGATCTATACTAAAGTATGCTTTCTCATCCTGGCTTTTAAGTCTCTCCACAGTTTGAAGACAACATTTATAATGAATACTTGTAGAGTATTTTACAGGTTATAGATTTATCCTAAGAATGCAAGTATGGTTTAGTATTAGAAAACAAATGTGTCATTCATCATATTACAAGAATAAAGGAAAAAACCCATATGAACATCTCATTAGATACACAAATACATTTTATAAAATTTAGCATAACTTTATGACTTAAAAACTCTTAATAAAAATAGAAGGGAATTTTCTTAACCTGACAGAAAGCATTTGTAAAAATCCTATAACAAACATACATAATGGGTGAACATTAGAAACATATTTAAAAGCAGGAATATGACAATACTATTCATTAGCATCCTTTCTGTTTGACATTGTGTAGCCATCCTAGCCCATGCAAACTTTTTTCAAAAAAGAAATGAGAGTCCTAAGAATTTGATAGGAGAAAAATCTCTAGCATTATATGCAGATAATATGACTCTTCTACATAGGACACCTAATTTAATCTATGTACAAATAGGAATAATAGGAACATTGGTAATGGCTGGATATATGATCAATTTGCAAAAATTAATGGCATTTTATAAACAATAACAGTCAGAAAATATAATTTAAAGATACATCATTTCTATTACAAAAGAGCAATAAAAATGATAAAATACTTAGGAATAAATCTAATCAAACGTGTAAGGTCTTCATACAGAAAAATCTAAAAGTTTGAGTGACAGTAAAGACGATGTAAATACATGGAGCGATATCCTATGTTCATAGATAGGATGGTATAATATCAGAAAAGTCATGGTTCTTTCCAAATTGATTTACAAGTTCAATGCAGTTTTTATCAAAATTTCATTTGAGTTTTTTTGGAATTTGACAAGGTGTCAAGATACTTCTCAAAAATAATAATAGGATTGGGGACTTTCCTTTTCAGATATTAGACCTTATTATAAAGCTACAGAAATCATGTGGTATTGGTACAGAGACAGACAAACTGACCAGTGGAATAGTTTAGTAAGTCAAGAAATTAATCTCTGTATATCTGAAACTTTAATATGTGACCTAAGGTGGCATGACAGATGCGTGGGAAAAATAAAAAGTATTAAGTACATGGAACTTATGGAGAAATTTAGATCCCTGTTTCACATCCTGACATAAATATCAGTATCAGGGCCTGGCATAGTGGCCCATGCCTGTAATAGCAGCACTTTGGAGGGCTGAAGTGAGCAGATCACTTGAGGCCAGTAGTTAGAGAGCAGCCTGACTAACATGATGAAACTCCCTATCTCTACTAAAAGTACAAAAATTAGCTGGGTGTGATGGTGCACACCTGTAATCCCAGCTACTTGAGAGGCTAAGGCACGAGAATCTCTTGAATCCAGGAGGCAGAGGTTGAGCCGAGATCTGCACTCCAGGCTGGATAACAGAGTGAAATTATCTCAAAAAAAGAAAAAAAAAATCAGTTTCAGATAAAATAGGGGCTTGAATGCCAAAGCAGAAATGTTAAACCTTTAGTAGAAAATAGAAGTTAATATTTTTCTAGCTTTCTGGTAAAGAGAGACACTATAAAATAAATAATGATTATGGAATTTCTCATCTTTTGAGGAAAATTTTCATCTTGGCTGGTTGCTTCCCCTCTCTGATCACATTTTCTGGCTGGAGGTTTTCTGTACCTGCTTAAACACACAACTCTAAGCATCCTCCTTTGCGCCTATCTTCCTCTGTTCAGCTAACTTCCTTGTATGCAGAATCCAAACAGTTCCAAAGTTCAGATACCCATGGCTTACATTTGTATGATGAACTGACCGTGGGGAAGAGAGCCAAAAAGGGAGTCTGTAATGGTCAGACAAGCTGTGGGACTGCCACGCTGGTTGTATTGGAATGTTCTAATAGTTATGAATCCCAGTGTGAGATCTATAGTGATTCTCAGGCCTCCAAAATGTACTCTGAATCAAAGAGGCCTCTTTCTCTAGCCAGTTTGCAAAGTTAAGTGGTGGCATGGATAGAGGCTCACTAGGGAAAATCAAAGGAGAGTACCCTGATTGTCCTAAAGTTGGAGTGAACTATGGGTCCCCAAATCTACACAAGTGGAGAAGGTTCTGTTTTCCTAGTAGCAAACCAGAGCTTAGCCTAGTTCAGACAGATAATGCCAAGGTCTCACGCTTGACCTGGGAGCTGAATAGTTTCACCAATTTGGGGAGAAAGACCTTTCCTTGTTCATTCTTTTGATTCCTTCTTTCCACTTTCCATAAAGTTGAAAGATGTTGCTCAGGAGTAGTTGGGTAACTAGCTGGAACCCCGCAGGGATTTGAGTATTTTGTCTCTCTCTTTCATTTTTTTCAAGAGACAGAGCCTTGCGCTGTTGCGGGGTGCAACAGCATGAAACTCCTGGGCTTAAGCAGTCCTCCTACTTCGGCCTCCGGAGTAGCTGGGACTACAGGCAAGAGACACCATATCCTGGACTCTTGATTTTAGTACAGAAGGCCTTGAGACAATGGTTGACTCTTGCTAGTTACTACTTACTCAGCCTACACAGATAGCCTTTCCTTCACAATGCTTATAATCCTTTGTCTTTCTATGGGATTGCAGATTCCCATAAGCTTTTGCTGTTGTTCCACTGCTTCCTGGAATGTAGCCAATGTGATTTTTCTAAAGCACAGATTTGTTTACCTGCTTTCTGCCCTACTTCTCTGTTTAAAACCCTTTGATGGCTTGTCATTATTTCAGAAAGAAATCCAAACTTCTTAGTTCTGCTTATGTGACACTTACAAGACTGCCCAGTCTTCTAGTTTTTTCTCTTGATATTCTTTCTTGTGCTCTCCTTTAGTTTTACTGAACTACCAGTGCTTTGAACACACTTTGCTCTTTTTCTCCTCCAGGTCCTTGTGCATATTGTTTCCTCTGCCTGGAATACTATTCTTCTTTCTCTTTACGTGGCTCGATTTCTGCTTTTTCCTCAGGTCTCAGATTCTAGGAAGCTTTTCATAGCTGGACCGAGTTGGCCATCCCCTGTGCTTCTGTAAATCCTATATAAATATTTACCTGGCATTCTCCCCTACTGAACTCTAAGCTTCGTGAGGGCAGTGACGGTGGCTTTGTTTATTGTTTTGTTTCCCTTGAATCTAAATGCAGTGCCTGGCACATAGTAGCCTCCAGTAAATGCTTGTTGAATGAACAAACAACCCTGTGAAGTGAGTGATAGAGTACTTAGTCCCCTTCAATTTTCAGGATGGAGAGATGGAGAATAAGGACGTCATACAAAATCACACAGTACTTGGTGGAAGAAGCTGAGCTATGACCTGCATTGGAAGATCTGAAGAAATTCCCAGTACATTGTCTTTCCTACTGGGTCTGTGTGAGAACAGGCTGACAGATGCCTCTGGTGGGTGGGTAAATGCATGGGCTTTTGGCAGTTGAATGAATGGGTTTACCAATGTGTGATTCTCTTTCCCTCCCTCTTCCTTCCTGTTCACAGCATCAAGCTGAGCCCCCAGACTCTGATGCAGGCTGGGGATGATGAGAAGAACCAGAGGACGATCACTGTCAACCCCGCCCACATGGGGAAAGCATTCAAGGTTATGAATGAACTGCGGAGGTACTTTTTCTATCTTGTCTCTGCCCTTTCAGAAGGAACTTGTCCATGAGCTTCATTGAGGATTTAGAACAGAAGTCAGAACACGACCACCTAGGGAATTCTGACTCTTCCCACCCACTCTCAGTCACTTGGTTTTCCCTTTCAAAGTCTGGTTGAGACAGAATGGCTTTGCCAGAAAACTGTCTTTCCTTTGTATGTATTTAACACCTATCATTTTAATGATTAATCACAGGGGAAAAATCCTTTATAGTTACAGCAAGTCTGTTCATAAACTTGATTTCCAACAGAACGAGCTGCTTGAAAACCAATAATAGAATGATTGCAACACCCACACACAATTGCAGATTAAAGACTGTGGTGGATGTCACGTATTTTCTTCTGGTTTCACTCTCCCTTTCACTGGTCTAAACTTAGGTTGGCAAGACAACCACATGAATGGAAGAATACCTGGCTCCTTAAATGTAAAGAGAGAAATGAAATGTGAATATACTCATCCTCTCTGAGCTAATAGTGAGGGCTATGCATGCTATTTGTAAGGCCAACGTGCATGTTTGACAAGCTTGTTGCAAGGCAGCTTCAGGGCTCTGAACATGTGTTTCTGTACATGTTTTTCTACACAAAGCCTGAGCACACACTCTCTTCCTTACCAGAGAGCTCAGAAGCTTCCTTTGCCCATGCCTTTATTTACTGCATACTTCATCCTGTTGTGAGATGTAATTGTTGATTTCACCTTTTCTCTGTAGTTCATGAGCTCTTTGAGGGCAGAGGCAACTTTTGAGTAATTTTTATCTCTAGCACCTGGCACTTCATAGGAGCTTTTTCTATTCATTCACCAAAGATGCCCAGAGGCACGGGGTGAGCCCTGGAGTGGGTCAATGGGGTACAAATTAAAAAATATAAATAGGTCAATGAAAATAATCTTTCTATAGTAGAAATATGTATCATGATAGAGGAGTGCATCCAGTGCCTGACAGGTGGTAGGTATGCGGTAATCATTTGTTTCTTAAAGAGGGCTTCAGAAGCAAGCATGACAGGTGGGAACTTTCGAGAAGAGAGTTGATGCTTGAACTGAATTTTGAAGGACAAATAAGAGTTAGAGAAAAGAGTAGTGGGGATAGGGAGAAGCCTTCCAGGCAGAGAAGATGGCACATAGCCAAAGAAGTGTGTGTTGAGTGTGGAGTTGAACTACTTTTAAACAAAATTCTATCTGATTCTATGTTTGCTTTCTTATTTCTCCTTTCTACAGGGCCCAGTCTCTGGCATTAATAACCAAGTTAAATTAAATTTGTCTTATGCTCCACTGCCCAATTTTTATTAGGCCTCCTGCCAGATTTCCTGGAAGCTCTGCCCATAGCTGTTTTAGTCTTTGGGCGGTACTGAGGTCCATGCTTGTGGGCATGATTCTCTTGTTACAGAAGAATTTTTCTTGTGTTCCCTAGACACTATTGAAATTCCTCATTTAGTTCTTTTGAGTATGGCTTGTGTCCTCTGTATGATTCAAGAGTCTTTCACCAGGCCTTGTTTTGCCTGATATAGTCAACTCTAGTGATGCTGAAAGGGAGAACTTAGGAAATAGATGTGCACACAAGATTCCCTGAACCTCTACTTTCTATTATTACTAGCGTCTCTTCTCCTCTCCTCTCCTCTCCTCTCCTCTCCTCTCCTCTCCTCTCCTCTCCTCTCCT